GGGCCCGGTCCGCCGCCGGCCCGCCCTTCTCGGCCCTGATCCCGAGTTGCCTTCGGAAGGTGGAACAAAATGGCGAAACCTAACATGGCCGTTCGGAGTTGGTGACTCCAAAATAAACAGCGTGTGTCCTTCCCTCCCTGCAGACCGGGTGTGCCAGCAGCCGGGGCTCTCCCTCTGGGTCCCCTTCCAGAATGCCGCCACTGCGGTCACCAACCTCTACAAAGGTAAGGGGCTGCCCCCCGCGCTGCCCCGGCAGCCCTCCCCGCCGAGCCGGGCCCCACTCTGCCTCCTGCCCCGGCTTACTCATAAGCAGGGCCTGTTAATGTCTCTTATTCACCCTGATAAAATCTAACCCGAGACTGCTTCCTGAATCTTGTAAGTTTTCCCTGGGCCACTTTAGCTGATGCTAGCTGAATCTTTTCTGTTGCCTCACGTCGGTGACTAATAATGTAAAAGCTGTTTTACTGCGAGACCCTTGAAAAAGGATGTTTTTAATATGTGGCTTGCTCTCATGAATTCAAGGGAAGAGTGCAATAGCTTATTAACCAGTACTCAAATATCTTGCATTTTGTGTGTTTTGTGGTGTATTAAATGTTGGGATATCGGTATAATACATGTACATTTGTGGTGAAGCAGAGGTTGGGTTTAGTGCTTGAAGACTTCTTCACAGATGTTATGTGACAAAGTTTTATCTTCTTGCGACAGTGAGGCTTCTGAAGTAAGCCTCCCGGTTTATTTTAAGCATTTGAATGTCATTATGACTGTGTCCAGGGTGGCTGTAAGAAAGCAGTGTTAGCCAGAACTTGGATAAGGGTGCACACTGCCCGTGGCTGTGCTTTTGTGCTGTTTTACTGTGTATTTCTGTCAGGATCTGTTTCTGAACTCTGCTGTTCTTTGGGTTGTCACAAGAATTCTTGTTTGCGGAAGAATCATTCAGTGGTTTCTAGTTTGTTTGAAAGATTGTACAAAAATGATTTCTGTATCAGTGGAGGCTTAAATTGGCACAGTATGAGTCCCATTGTTACTGTCTTCCATTCCTAGGAAGGAAAAAACTTTAAAGTTCCAAATTGTTGTTTTTCTGACTTGCAGTTTGATTTTTTTTTTGAGTTGTGGGGTGTTTTATTTTTGTCTGTACAGCATTATATATAGTTCTACCTGTGTGTTCTTTCATTTGCCTCTAGTTTTCCCATTTTGGATTTGCTTTAAGCAATTGAACTTGGTAACATGTTCGTGATGGCTGGTCAGGTTTCTGACAGGTGTGGACAGAGCAAGGAGGAAATGCAGATGCATAACCCTCGCTGCCAAAGACTTGACTCTTGCAGAAAGTGCATTTGGATGTTGTGTATGTGTTGTAGGTCATATAAAGGGGCAGCACATCATGTAACAGGGTAAGTGTTAGCCTGAGGGAGTAGGTCACTAGAATGTGGTCTGGGACACCAGTTGCTTGAGTGTGGTGCTAGAGTAGCAGCAGGTAGTGTTAATAAGTTGTCTGGAATAATTACAGTCTTTTTTTACAAATGGCATTGCTCTCACTTACAGTGTCTTTACAAAGACTTAGGCTGTTTATTTTGTGCTAGATCATTTGATTACTTGTGCTATAGGCAAAATCAGCCCTATTTTTCTGCAGTAATGTGATTAACAGAAGAATGTATGTATGTGGTGATCAGGGAAACTAGAATTTAAGTAGGAAGCTGTCTTTAGTCAGGTGTAATGGAATACTCCAAAAAGCAGCACCTGAAACAAATCTTTCCTTGAAACAGATTTTGAAGAAGTGCTGAAGTACCTCAGTTATTCGGAACTGCCATCTTGCAATTTTAAATTAACTTCCAAATGGGTAGAAATTTGTTGAGAACACAGGTAGAACCATCTAGGCACTGGCAAGTTGGGGTCTCTTAATGTGAATTTGCCTTCCCTAGTGATGAACATTGGCTCTTTAAAAATCTCCTGTTGTTTCTCACATACTCAGTAATGTTTGTGTTTTGGAGGGCTCTGTCAAAACCCTGGAGAAGTACTTGGTGTGGTAAACTGAGCACCACAAACTGCCTCTTGCCTTGTCAGCTGGTTTCTGATTTGATAAATGTTTGGAATTTTGAGGCATCAAAATTCTTTTAACAAGAGCTACATGAGGAATAGTGCGTAAGGAGAATGCCATGATGTCTTGAATGTCAGCATTTTTTCTGAAAATAGATTAGAAGTTTAATATCACACCACACTGTGAAGGTCTTCGATCACGAATTTCCGATCGGTGCTGGTGATAGAGGCCTTATTTAAAGACATCTGATCATTTTCCAGATTGCACTAAACAAGTGAAGGCATGGATGTAATGTAGGATTTAGGACTTAAGACCACTGCAGAAGGCCTTAGGCATATATTAGAATAAGACTTCTGAACCTACAATTTACCTTATTTTGTTAAAAAAAGCTGAATGCTTGGTAATGTTAGTTTTGACTTAGTAATTTCAGGATGTAGGTAACTTGACTGCTTACATTTTGCCAGCTTAACTTTATAAACAAAGTAGGTGTGGCTTTTACTGTAAAAAATCTGATCTTTCCCAGGGTAATGACACTTGAAAATTGTCTGGGCTGCATCAGCAGTCAGTGTTTGACCTCATAACTAGTTCGTAGTTGGTTCTTTGTAAAGCATTCTTGTCTAGAAGGAAAGCAGGCTATTGATATAAAACTGGGCTCCTCACCTCTCAGAAGGACTTTGTCAGGGTACTTCAGGAAGAGATTAAAGGAATATTATCAGTTTCCAAATTAGCTCCGAAGTGTTTGGGTAGCTTTTACTAGTGAGGGCGTTGGAGCCTTAGCTGCTGTGGAGTAGAAAATGGCTGGAGGAGTGATCTGTCATGTTGCCATTGCTTTCACAGGAATTAGCATTTGTAAATCTTCTAGCCTTTTGGTTACAAAGCAGCATGGGCAAAATACTCTTAGAGTACATAGAAGTAACTAACATGTGAAGCGTACTCTACGTATACCTGTACAGCTTATATTCTAAAAGCCCCAAGATTTACCTATGATCAATTTGAGATGTTTTTCTCTTTTGGTAGGTTGTATTATGTTTGAAGTGCTGCTTTTTGATAGTGTAGATTTTAGTGCTGTCTTTTTGTGGACCATGCAGTGGTGCCTTAGAATATAAGTCTAAGAATAACATTTAATAGTGATTATTTTTGGGGTTTTTTTGAGTGTGAGAAAACTAGTTTAGATGTGTGTGTCACTGTTTACCTGTAAACCAATATCTTGGACAGCTGTTCTTAAATCTCTTAATATTGTTCTGGGCAAATGGCTCTTATGTTGGACTTCATTAGTAAAGCAAGAATATAAAAAGCTGTTTTAATCTGCTCTGCCAGATTTAAAAGAAATCTATGGAAATCAGTAAATGAAATTGGAGTGGATATGTTGAGGTCTTTTAATGGAGCAAGAGCTAACATAGCAGTAATTTTCATAAAACAAATACCTGTTGGCAAAGCTCTAACAAATTCATGACAAACAAGATGAATGTAATTGTGTAGAGAACATGTTTTGTCCCACCTCTTACTGTTGTCTGAAACTTACTCATACCTAAACTATAGCCAGAAGTGTACTTACTGAAGTCTGAAAGTAAGGTAATATAAGGCATTTAAGAGTGCTTCTTAGAGGCACAGTTATAATTGATGTGCACAGGTGACCAGTTACATGAATGGAGAATGAAATTGTGTTTTGTAGCAGAATGAATTGTAAATAATGTATTTAAAGCTTTTGTGTATCAAATCTGCAATGGGATCTTAAATGGGGAAGGAAATTTTTTAGACTTCCTTTGTAAAGGGTGTGTTGCCTAATTGAAAGAGATTGGGGACACTTGTGTTCTAACTAGTTTCAAAACTATGGCCTCCTGTGAATTGCCTCTGCAACTGAAATTTGGATGAAACTAGAGGGATTCGAAAGAAACTTGAGTTTTCTGAAAATTCCTTGCCTATCAGAATCAAGAAAAGCAGTTTTTGCTTTTGGTTTTGTGGGGTTTCTTGACTGTACTGATGCACTTCAAGAGTGTGTCTCTTAAAGTGCGTTGTCTGTTGACTTAAGTACCTTCCTCAGACTGACAAGCTCAGAGTGTGTTTTTAATGTTAATACAATACGGTTTCGTAAGCAGTGCTGTAGTGTTGACCTGAAGTACAGTAAATGCTATTTAGGTGGTGCTTGAGTTGCTGCTGACTTTTGACTTGTAAAGGGGGTGGAACTTTCAGCTAATATTCTCTTTAGGTTTATATGACTCATCCTCAAGGCTAGCTAATTTGTTACAGCTAATTTGGTACTGCGTTACAGTAACCTGTAAAAGATATCCTTCTTTCCTATGGTTGACAGGAAGCCGTATCAGTAATGTGCCATGCTATATGTTGCTCTATCTGTAACACTTACTAAGAAAACTTTTTTCTGTCTTCTTGCAGAAAGTGTGGATGCCCATCAGCGAAGCTTTGATGTAGGAATTCAGATTGGCTATCAGCGTCGGAATAAGGATGTGTTAGCTTGGGTTAAAAAACGCAGAAGAACTATTCGTAGAGAAGACTTGATCAGCTTCCTATGTGGAAAAGTTCCTCCTCCAAGAAATTCTAGAGCTCCCCCAAGACTGACTGTAGTATCCCCTAACCGAGCTACTTCAACAGAAACTAGCTCATCTGTAGAGACTGATTTGCAACCCTTCCGTGAAGCCATAGCTCTGCATGGTAACAGTAATTTTTTCAATACTACTTGGTTAAAATTGGGTGGGGGTTCTTAAAGCATGTCTGCTTCTTGGCTGTTGTTGGTGTACTATGTCATGTACCTGATGTTCCAGCTGAAGGTATCTCCTTAATTCTCTAAGGGAGTTTTTGCATGTATAAGGCAAATAGCTACTAAAAAGTTGCATAGTCAAATATTTTGAATGAGGAAAAGGTATTGTATAAATGCAGTTTGGATCTGTAATATTCTACAGCTGTGAACTCAACAGTTAAGTATCAACTTTTGGTAGTGTTTTTGAAGCATGAAGAGACTTGGCATTGTCATACCAATGCTAAAGTAAACAGAATTCTTGGAAAATGATAATACTATGCTACAACTAGTTAATTATTAAGATTTGGCTAGTAGCAAATAACTAGCAAACTTTTGCAGGGTTAGGGAGGGATATGAAGCTTCTGTCTGTGGGGTACCTTCTCTCCCTCTAGTACCCTTGTTGTGTATGGATAATAGGGTTTAGCATTCTCCTTAAAGTACCCTGGAAAGGGTAGTTTGCTTGCACATCATTGCAATAATTGAGTCCTGTTCAGAACTTAGTTCTAGTTCACTTTCAGTCTTAAATGTCTTCCAGTGTCATACTGAATTTCCTTCCTTGCCATTCATCACCAGCAGTGTTGGTGGTCTATCTTTTCTCCTTTTCAGATAGGAATATTCAGTAGCTTATTCTGCATTGGACTGTTACCTAGCAAGTGATTAAAAGTGTTTTAAATTGCTCCTGAGGTGAAATGAAACAGTTCACCTGTGGGTTTTATTCCTTCTAAAATTCTAAAGGGTAGCAGATATCTTGAGGTACAAATAGTATACCATTCTAAAAGCAAAGAATCAAGCTATCTAAAAGTACAACCTGTGAAACTTAAATTTTTACTGTCTCAGTGTTCTCAGTGGGGGGTGGAATTAATGAGTTAATTAGATGAGTGGATTCCTGAAAATGCTGTCTTTGCTTCTGCTATGCTGTGGTGGTTTTTCAAGATACATAAGCCAGACACTGTTACTGTCTAGGTGACAGCCTAATTCTGGTATTGTTTGCTGCTCTGTTGCCATTTAAATCGAGCATGCTTCTACCCAGTCATGTAATTTTTGGCAGTTTTCCTTCTCATATTGGAAGCTGGCTAGAGAATTCTATGTACCAGTATTGCTTATTCAGTAGGTAAAGCTAATTTCATGAGGAGAACAACTGCAGAAGCTGCCTCTCACTTGATATGATGTGATAAACACCCTCTTAAAAAATCTTGTTTTCTGAAACTGTGTAGTTGAATCTGGTGTGCAGTTGGCTTTAACTATAAAGGCTTACTCTCAGGTGTGTGGAAGCTGGGTAGACTTACTTCAGCACAGTGAGCTTTCAAGCAGAGTAAACTCAGAGGCATTTTTACTGGTGATACGGCTTTTTTCATGTCCTTGTGTTGTTTCTTAGCACTGCTTTGTATAGAGGTGGTTTATGGAAGTCACTTCTCTATCTTGTGGGAATCTGAACCATGAAGTACAAAGTTTTTTCATATTCCCTAACCTAATATAGGGTCCTGAGGACTGTAGGAAGTTCTCTGCTCTGTACTGGCACTGCAGGGGCTGGAAATGCACTCTTCCCCTTCATCAGCTGGTTGACAAGATTACATGTCAGTCACCTTCTGGATTAGGTTCTCCTGATATCAGTTTCAATCTGGTCTTTGACACGAATGCTTTTGTGCTAATCCTTTAGTGACTAGGCTTGTGTTTGGCCTCATAACTGTTTTTAGGTTATTGCCTACAATGTCTGTGTTCCTCTAGCTTCTCCCTTCCTTTTCTTTAACATTAAGGAATTTGTGATTAAACTATCTCCCAAACTATTTTCCTATTTATCATAGGGCTTCCCAGAACTATGTTTTGATTTTGAAACCTGTGTAGGATGTTCAGGTGTGTGTAAATTAATGCCCCCTGTAGGGCTATGTTTATCTTAACTTTTGGCAGGCTGTTTAAAAGTGGTTTGCTGCTTCTAGGTGTTGTGAGGAAACATGAGAAAACCTGATGATATTGAGTAGCAGTCTCAGCAAGTGTTCAGGACTAAAGGTTTAAGGGGAATTTTTGACTGGCATGTAAAGGAGTGAGGCCTTGTTTTGTGCTGTTGGGCTTCCTGTGCAAATGGAGTAGTTCTCTATTGGTAACATGGGTGGGCTGAACTGGGTTTGATGGGTAATGCTAGAACTTGCTGCCCTAAGCAAGGTCTCTTTTAGTGAAGCAAGGGTAGGTATGAATCTGTGTCATGACACCAGATAAAGCTGTGTTGAAGTTGAGCTGGTTTATTGACTTCTCAGAAATAGGTACTAACATATGTCTAATGACCATGGTGCTATAACTTGTTGATCTTGCTCTTTGATGGAGGCAATACCTGTCTTTTGATCATGTAACCTCTAAATGCTTCATAATCACATCTGAAAACTTTGACAGAAGCTGTGGTAACAAAGTAGCTAATAATTAAATATTCTGTAGAACATCAAACACAATTCTAGGTGTATGCCCTAGACTAAAACATTAGAGAAGAAGAGTATCTCTAGCTATCAGTACAATCTTAAAACTGTGTGCTGCATCTGAAGAGAAATCTGTTAAAATAGAACTTTTAAGCTTACCTCTTCTATCTGAAACCTTGTTGTATCTGACCTATATTGTAGTTCAGCAAGGTAGTTAAGTTTTCTTGACGAAAGCTAGGGATTTTGAACCCAAAATTTAATCTTGTGATATTAGTTATCAGTAGTTTTTGTGCTATAAGGAAACTTGTTCTTATCTACTGTTCTGCTTTTAAGACTTGCTGCAGTAGCTAAAAGCAAAATGATCATGACAAGAAAACCTATACTGACACAAGACTGTTTGTGATCTACCTTTTAACTCTGTGGCATGTGTGCTGTGCAGCTGTTGGTGAAATCTTTAGTGTAACTTAAGGGTACTTGAGAATGAGTTTTTGGAACTAAGTACTCTCTTGAGAGTTAAACTCTGGTAAATAAAAAAAAATATCTTTGCCCTTAATATCAGCTTTCCATTATTAGTGTGCTGATGGGTAACCTTTGAAATAAAACACGGCTGGAAATTTGAACTGTGAAAACCTGAAAAGAAACTAAGGCCTTCCAGAAAAGCTGAGTAGTTAGGTCAAGGTAATATATGCTATTTTACTCTGAAGTTAAAGTGGATTTTTCTGAAACTTCAAGAACTGTGCATCTGATGATGCTTAGCATTTTAAGATGTGATAGTAGAAGATAAATACCTTTATTGTTCAACACCTGAAATAGAGTAGGGTTTTTAACTTCCACCAGGCCCTAAATGTCATTACAGTCAGCATAGGTATGGATGTATCTTCACCTACTTTCTGGATACGTATTGCCATATCCAATTCTGTAAGAGAAGAGTTTCAAATGACAGAATTACATCAAACTGAGCTAACAGTCATAAGATTTCCAAAAAGCTGACATGTGCCAGGTCACTTTCTGCTTGGCTGTAGCTAGTGTACAGTCTTGCAGTGCACAGTCCATGTTTGAAATGATCCTTTGGTCTGTTAACATTGGCTGTGTTCCATGCTTTACAAACCATTCTCCCAGCATAATGGGAGAAAATGCTACGATCTGAGGCGGGGGAAGAAGCAACTATGGGAAGGCAATGCTGAAATGCATTAGACTTGAGCATTCTTAACTAAAAATGATGTGAATAGGCAACAGCACAGTGAGGGAGTGTTAGTCCTTTTTGTTCCTTAGCTTTAATGTTTGATGTATATCATTAATGTGATTCAGTCTCTTTGAGGAGGGGGAACCCTTGCTCTAGCATGTAGAAGCATGTGGCTTGGCCCCTTTAAAGAGCCTGAATTTTCATTAGGCCTTCTTAATCTCTTCTCAAAATATTGAACTGCAATAAACCATCAGCAAGTTGTTAGCAGAGAAGCAGTTGATAGAGGGGATGGGAGAGCAGAGTTCAGGTTAGTTTGAAAGAGTTAACTTAAAGGTTGTGTCTGTGTATTATCTATAGCCATCATAGTTGTGCATTGGTATGTACTGCTAAGACTTGCTCTTTGAGCAGTACTGTGAAAGGGTATGACATAGAGGAGTCACAGGGATCTGTCTGCCTGCCATTTTGTATTTATCTGGGGTTATTAACTAATTCTTGCTTTAGTCACACTTATCTAAGCATGAATGTTCTTTTTGATACTTCCTGATTAAAACTTCTGGAAAACAACAGTTAATACTATTACTATACCGAACAGTAGTTATCCAGTATATTATGCTTTGGTAGTGACCTGGATAACTCATACTCATTATGGACATGGTTATAGTGCAGATAAAACAGGATTTTCAGCTTGTTAGGCCAGTGTTGGTGAACTTGGTAATTTTAAGTTGACAGTTTTAAGTATTTCATACTCCATAAAACATGTACTTTTAGCCAAGCATTCTAATCACTTCATAGTTTTGGAGAGTACTTAGTTATAGATTAGCTAGTATTGGTCACAATTTCTTCTATACTGCAGCTTTTTGTAATGGTACTATAATAAGTGCTTTAGAATATAGCTTCAGATAAAAGCAGAGCTTTTGTGAAGTTACTGGCTATGAAATACCGTATTGTTGATGACTTGACTGAAAGATATGGCAGGAGTGAGAATGTAACAAGTACTGCAAAGTATTTCAGATATGCCCTCCACTTCAATCCTTCCAAGTTTAAAAAGGGAGAAGGAGCCATGTGTCCTTTCTTAAAGGCCTCTCCGAAAAAAGAAAGTGTCTCCTATAGAAAGCAGTGGGAGACTTCAGGGGTGGTTGCAAGACTGTGAAAGGAGTAAAGACATTTAGTAGCTATTTGAATCTCTATCCTGTTGTATAGATAATACTGATGTGCCTGTGATTAGGTCATGTTGATCACAATACAGAATTTGAGGTTGCGAAATAGTGTTGCTAACAGTCATGTCATCTTACTGTTTCCTAGTATCTATTAACTGCTTGCTTTCTGCTTTAAATGGTTAAATGCTTTTTGGGAAGAGGTCTCGGAGTCCACTGAAAACTTAAACTCACAATAATTCTTAATAAATGGGTTTTCTGAGATTTTCCTCTTTGCATTACAACAAATTCCCAAGAAAAAATCAGCTGTGGGTCACGGTTTAGTTTTGGATCCTGAAAGATGCTTTCTCTGTCAATAAAAATCTTTTCTATTGCATTGCTGATTGTCCTCAAAGACGTTGCTTCCATGAAATGGCAACTTGATATTTCAGTGCATGCCTTGAATTTTTTTGAGTCTCCCATGTTAGCTTCGTTACCCAGTCCTAAACTGTGATCTAAATGTTTTGTTTGACAGTTCTGCTCTCTTAGATTGTGTAGTGCTATGTAATATGGTTAACTGCCAGTAACTGATACCAAATTATCACTCAGTCTGTTAGCATGCTCAGTAATGACTGTTACTCACTAGTTCAGTATTAAATACCTGTATGAGATGCAGGATTGAACTGCAACTAGAAGTCTGTGTTGTGATGCAATATCCTTCTACTCCTTTGTAGAAATGGATTTGAAAGTACTCTCCTGCCTTTGACACCAGGTTTGATTGAAGATTTTAACTTCTTGATGATCTCCTGAGAGCTGTTTGTGTATTTAAATGTACAGTGATTCAGTATTACCTAAATATTGGAAAGTCAATGCCTGCTTGAGGTGTTGCTTGCAAACCTTGGCAGTCTGTTTCAGAATATGCTGCAGAATATTACAGATGCATCTTTTAATTCTGACTTACATCTACTACTTTAAAAAAATGCTTGTTACTTGAAAAGGCCCTACCTAAAAACATAGTTCTTGAGTGATGCAAAAACATGTATTCTGACATCACAGGTCAGTTTTGGGGCTTATTTAAAATAATTTTTCTTTCCTTATTTGGGCACTAGACATAATGAAAAGATGTCATGATAAAACTGAATTAGTATATTGGCCATTTGGGTTATGGGTTGTATAATATAGGAGTAAATGACTGAAAGTGGTGTAAATTGTTGACTCTCAGTGGAAGTAACAGCACTGAATTTGTGTGTTCCGAGCAGTGTTGCTTGGAATAGTGATGGGGGGGGGAATCTCCGCAATCAATTTGGATTTGAAACAATGTCGCCTTCTGTGCACTGTCAAATTTTTTCCAATTTAAATGTAAAGGATGAATTAATGTTTTTTCTAATGTATATCATGCCAGTGGAAATTAAACTTGCTGTTGTCTTTTGAATTGTGAAGTGATTTGTTACCTGCCCAAATTTTGCATGTTGGTGCTTTATCCAAGTTATGGTATCTGAACTGGCTTTTTGCTCGTACATCTATATGACCCAATTAGCTGCTTTACTTTCATTCATAGATGTATAGGAGCCTCTTTTCATAATGGTTTTGAATTTAAGCTTGACCTTAATCTGCAACAAACCTTGCTTCTGAATTACTTTCTCAGTAAAACAGCTTCTGCTATTTAAATACTTTCTGCCATTGTGAATGAAGGATGATTTTACTATTAAAACCTGCAGGGTCCCTATCAGACTTCAGCACAACTCAGAAGCATGGTTTGGAACCCCACTTAGAGCTGTAAGCAAAAGCTCTAAGAAAGCATCAGTGATTAGTGGCTGTTCCTCCTTGTTGTTGCAGAATGCCCAATCTGTGTAAAAGTCTATCCTGGGCTGCTACAAGATCTAAGCTTTAAATGTTCATTCAACAGTAATGTGCAAGAGTGAAATTGGTTGACCTGTTTTATCCTGACTTTCAGATCAACCTGCTGTCGCTGCAGATGGCTTTAGAATTTATCTTCCAGTTTCTGGTAACTGATCTAGTAGCTCTAGCAGTCTTCACAGAGCCTCTGAAGTTACTTGTTTGGCCTATCAGCAGCTAATAGATAGGGTTTTGTTAGGCTTTACTTGTCAGCGTGTGGCTTCTGGCTGCCTACTTGACTATATATGAAGATGTGTATTAAATGGCTTTGCACATGCACAAGATGTGTGATGGCTGGACAGAGGTACAGTGTGTTTGAGACTGGAGAAAACCTCTGAGAGCTCAAGACTTTGAAGGTTACTGAGACACAAATCTTTCTGGACAGCTTAAAATTTGCTTGTTCTTATTGCTCTGCTGTTCATCTTCCTGCATGACTCTTGCTTTGGTAGTTTATCTCTAGGGCCAACAGATGTTTTTGTACTTTCCTAATAATAATCAGATTTGAAGCAGTTATGACAGCAAAGGTGTTTGTCTTACATCTGAGCTCTTGTTTATCTACAAATGTAGCCCGAATTCCAAATTGAGCAGAATTGTTAGACTTTTATGTACTAGCCCTTACTAAACTTATGTTTTGGAATGTCCTGCTTTTGCAAAGTTGTGATAGTAACATTAGTGAAGACAAAAAGTTTAAAGTAGTATGAAGTTCATGGTTCTCTTGTTTATGGCCTTGTTTCTACAAGAAAAAAACACTTTTGGTTTTAATTAAACATTTTTATTAATAACCTGAACACAAACCAAAGTGATTGCAGGGTACCTGTGACAGTGGTTTGGATCACATCTGTCAATAGCAGATTTTGGGGGATTGTCATGTGGTCTTGCTTGGCTTATTTTTTATTTGTAAGTGCTCTTCTGAATTCTGATAATACTACTGTGTTGGCTAATAGCGGCAGCCATGAAATAAAGCTTTTATGGAAATGCTAGCTGTGGCATAGACCTGTCTGAGATCTGCTGTCATGCTGCAGTTTTCTTTAGAACTGTGGTGACTGAGGTAGTAAAAGGGAGCAGGGTGGTGGTGTTTGAAACAAGACCAAGTCAAGTCAACCTGGAAAGCCCTTGGTAGGGGGATTTTCATTCTGTGTAACTATTGGTCTAGTGTGAAGCCTTCACATTGAAATAGTCTACTCTTGAGTACGTACACATATTTGAAGAGCATGTTGTGCTTGTGGAGCTAGCATTTGCCATAGTGTGCTGTTACAACCTGGTGTATGAGCTCACTTTTAATGTCGTAAAAAGCAGTTCTAGTAATTACTAGATTCTTACATGGACTAAAAGCTGGGAAGGTGTGGTCTGGACTTCAAGTAAGTGTGGTACAAATAATAGGATGAAGTGCCTTTAACATCTCACTAGAAGTCAGATAAGTGTCATCCCTTCTGCCACACATGGGAAATCAACTTTCTTTACTGTTTGACCTAAATGCTTTTTCTTTTTTTCCCCTAGGTCTTAGTGGTGCAATGGCTAGTATAAGTGTTCGCTCAAGTACCCCAGGCTCGCCCACTCACGTGAGCAGTGGCTCCAATGCTAGTCGAAGGAGAAATGGACTCCATGATGTTGATTTGAACACTTTCATATCAGAAGAAATGGCACTCCACTTGGACAATGGTGGAACTAGAAAGCGTACCTCAGCCCAGTGTGGCGATGTCATTACAGACTCACCAACTCATAAACGCAACAGAATGATCTAAACTGCAAAAATTTCAAACCCACCATGCTGCTTGAAAGCCACTTGATCCTCAGAGTACTATTGAAAAGGAAACATGAGGCCATCTTTCCATATTCACTGTTTAAGACAAATGAATTCAATAATTGCCATAAAGGAAATTTTAGATATTACATTAGATGCCTCTTGTAACTGCGGCTTTCTTAAACTATATTCTTAGCAGAGGACATCAGATATTGTGTAGTAGTTAGCAAGATCATCATAGGCAAACATGTATCCGTTCCAAGGCTAAAAGTGACCTTACTTGTATTCTTAAAGGGAAAGGAAATTTCAGATGTTTATTTGGTTATAGAATGCTTTTTTTTGTCCTTATTTCCTGCTGTGTTGAGTATTTGCTTAAACAGTATTGCCAGTTTGACTGAAATTGTCTACAACATGACTTGGCATCTTTGTCAAAACTGCAGGCTTCCATTTTTGCAGCACTGTACCATGCACCTAGTTTCTCTATAGTAACAGTGTGCAAGTTATAAATATTGGACTGTACCCTTTTTAGTTTTAAAAGCAGTTGATAATTCTGGTGATTGTGTGATAATGTAAAGAGGTGCTATGATGGTCATGCGATTAATACTTAATATTGAATCAATACAAGGGTCTTTATTGGATTCACTTTGTGTGTTTTAGTGCTCTGAAGTAGCAATATTAAACTTTTCCCCAATTAACTTCATAGGCTTTTAAATCAGTTTGAGAAAATATATGTACTTATTGGTATTATCCTCGTGGTAATCATACACAGTGCAGACTGCACCAGTGCTGACCTAAATTTAGAGAAAGATGTCCTGTAATTGGAAAATAGGCTTTTCTGTTCAGTATTAGTGAGGGGTAGGTTTTGTGTACACCCATATCCCATTTTACATTTCTTGTGAAGTAATTGCCCATTGCTGGGGAGGGGTGGGAGGAGAGGGAATGAGGGGGAATAGTTGGCAAAGGGGTGTGTTCTAACAAGTAAGACTTCTGGTCACATGTGGAAACTTGGACTAACTTAAAGAAGATTCTGTGTGATGCCATCTCCTTCAGGAGGGAGTGACATGCAGGTTCTGTGAAGTGCTAAGAAAATAATTTAAAACTGGAAGTTGATTATAAAGCTCTGGATGAATTAAAAAGCATAAACGGCTTTCTTTTTGTGTTGAGCTTACATTCATAGGATTGAACTCTGGCTGCCATAACTTAAGCATAATCTAAAACTGAACTAGAGAACAAGACTGATGTGCTGCAGATCTGTTTCTGAATGGGAAGGATATGTGTCAGTCTCAAAGAGAGTCCTAACTATTTTTACATGTAGATGCAGCAAGTCTCTGGTGGAGAGTTCTGGCTTTTAGGGCCTCACTCTCTGCCTAGGAAAGGGATAATACAGGAGGAATAAGAAGATGAAGAGCTCCAAACCTGCAAGTTGGGAAGGGGTGTTTAGCAAGGTGGTATGCATGCTTTAACTGGAAGCATAGGCTGATTCTTGGATGAAATGCAGCTATGCTAGATTCACAGTACTAAAAAAATTGTGGTGTTCTAGCTAAGTTAAGGCACCTTGAGCTCCATGTTAATACACAGCTCTTCAAGACTTTTGCTTATGTGCTTGTAGAGTCAGATTTTTTTATATTATCTTCCCTGTTTGAAGCAGACTTCACTGTAGTTTTGCTCCTTTTTACCCTGATGTCCTCTCATTGGTGTTCTGTAGTCAAGGCAAGACAGCAATGATGTGTTAAATTCTCAGCATTCAAGGCTCTCACTAAGAGCATGATCTCCTTGCTTTGTGGTGCTTCCATCAAATTTCTTTACATTGAAGAGCTCTTGAAGATGTCAGCAGTTGCACAATACCGTAGCTAGAGGTTCTGTAGTTTAAGGGACAGTGTAAGAACTGTCTAAAGCAAGATGGTAAAAATTGTTCAAAGCCCCCACCTGTGTTACGTAGCTGAACTTGCACATCACCTGAAGACTTGGTATACATTAATTTCAGTTATTAACTACGATTCATAAGACTTATTTTATGTAAAATATTAATACTGCCTAAAGCTAGTTTTCATTTGGAGACTGCATTTTCAACAAAGATTTGAAGATGGTATCTAAATGTATGTTAGTATTTATTAGGCTGTTGGCAGAGGGATTTTTCTGTTCCAGAAGAAAAAAATCTGGAGTCCTGAACAGAAAGAACATGTGTGAGAACCATTCTTCAGCTCTTCTGTTTATTCATTAACGGGCTTGTACAACTAAGATGCTTATGCTCTGCAACTTCTAACACACTTTACTATTACGTGTGGTAAAGGTAACATCATATTGGTATCAGTTCTGCATATATGGATTGAACTGTAACAGTGCTTCTGGTCTAACCCAAATATACAGAGCCTGTTCAAATTACTTCTCTTCCTTGCAGTGAAATAAATCCTTTTAATGCTTTGAAGTGTTAATTCAGTCTAGTACCACCTAAAACTAAATTTGTCTTGCTTTTTATTTAATTTATGCCATTTTTCTTTGAAAGAAAGCAGGCTTAGTTATTAAACTGGTTGCATTAATGGCTTTTTTTTGCTTGTACCTTAAATATTTGGCAACTTTTTGGTTGTTTTTTGTTTAGCCCCAACTGTTGTTTGCTCTTTGTTAACCTCTGCCAGAATGATCAAAAATGCATGTATTCACCTGGGAAACATAAGGATAACAGGTTGTCTCTTAAAAAAATAAAAAAAAAGTCTAGTACCTGTTGCTTTGAAGACTATTTCTTGTGCCAGTGTAGAAAATTGATGTTCTGGAAATAGCTTTCAGCTATTATCCAAACTGTAGCTCCTGGAGCCAGAAGTGAGTTGAGTTCCTGTAAGAAACACTGAATTGAGAACTGTTTAGTTTGGTAAAAATGGTGCTTACTTTTGCTTTCTCCTATGAATCGTATAGTTGACCAGTCTCTTCTCCATGTACATCAAATCTAACATGAATGTGCGGCAAGTTACATAAAGTACATCCTGCACTGAAGCTACTGAGCTTGGCTTGCTTATTAATGAAGTAAGTTTTAAATGTTAAATTTAAATCTATATTACAATAAAGTAATGCAAAAATGATTTTGGCTGAAACTGAAGTCCTGCAGTTAAACTTACTCTCAAATGTGGTTTACCCAGCTGGAGTAATAGAAACTCTTAAGTCATAATAAACCTAATAAAAAAAATCAATACAACTAATCAGGCTGCTTTGTAGTTCTTTAAGTTTCTGAATAATACAGTCCATCAGCAAACCCAAAGCAAGATGTGATTAATGTGAGCTGAGAGGCTTTTTTGGTTCTGTAGGAGTAGGGTTTTTCTTCAGGAATGCAATTTGCTAGTAGCTGTTCAGTCTAGCTACACTTAAGAGGCTTTCCTTTGTCTTCTGTGGACTGATGAAGATATTAAGAATTGGGGCGTACTGTTGCTTTTGTACACCATGTTCTGCAGAGTTTAACATCACTAATACTTAGGAAAAGCATCTTAAACTGTGCCACTTCAAAGCTCTCTAGAAAGTTAAGTGGTATTGACTTCAAGAGGAGAGCTTTCCAGTCTCTTGCAAAAGATTCTCTGGACTTAAGTGAAATGAGGTGCTTTAATTAGCAGCTTTTCCTGCTTTATGTGTGTGTCCCTAAACCTGCAAACTATTTTCTACTTATGTGCTGTATTAGCAGGTCTTTGAATTTCATTATGAAGGAAAGCTTTATTTCACAGGAGCTTTTAAGCTAAAAATGTCTTTTTTTAATTACTGTTAACATTTTTTCACTTCTAGCCAATGAAATGTTCCAGTGGGGATTTGGAAAGTTTTCTTAAATGACTTTCTAATAAAACAGCATCTTTTAAATGTTAGCCTGGAGCCATAATACTTTGGCAGAAGTAAGGAATGCACACCTGACTCGTTCCACGGAGTTCACCGCACCAGGCGGGGCTGCTGCTGCTGTCTGGGGTAGCCGCAAGGCTGGTGGTGCTCGTTCCAGGTCCTCCGGCTGCTGAAGGCGATGGGGAAGGCACTGGCACTTGTCAGTAACTGTGCCTCCCTCTAAAGCTTTCCTGGTCTGTGTGTATAACCCCTGGGGACGGTTTGAGGCTGGTAAACTTTCTCTGACAGCTCCTGATGAAATGGCGCTGTAGTCAACGCTGGTGCTTTCTGCTGTCGTGCTCTCACTGGGCCCCTTTCACACTGTCTCAAAAGGGAAACTCAATATGTCTCAAGCTCACAGGGGTGGTAGTGAATAAACCAACCAAATCCACTTCGGTGTAGTATGGAAGCATCGCCTAGCTCCGTGTTGTAAGAGACTCGGAAGCAGAATGTTTCTCTGGGTAATGAGATTCCAGTGTTTCCTATGTGACTTCATTTCGACTAGTGATGCTGCTGCTCTCGTGGCTGATGTTACAGCATCTGTCTGGGGGTTTTGATCACTGGGACTGTACTTGAGGGCTGTATTTTCATTGACTAAGATGGGATGTGGTGGGGGAGTGCAGAAGAATATGACCTTGTCGGAATCTGCTATGAGCCCACTGGGCAGGCACTATGGTTTGTAGAGAATCTCGAATGTCAGTATAAAAAGTACGGATCAATTGGCTACAAGAGCATCTAAGACCACTCTTCATCATGCTTTGTAATATTTCACCATTCTTACAATTGACTGTTTTAAGCATAAAGGTGAAGCTGGTTCTGATGCCGGAGAACAAGGCTATGTGTGAAAGGAAATACCGGGGTCCTCGTTCGTGTCGTCGCGGTGTAACACTCTTGCATCTTTGTCAGAGAGAAACTCGTGATGCTTCTCCAGCTCTGAAACTCAAGCCACACAAATTCTGGTATTTTGTACATCTGGTGTTCTTTTTACAAGGCATCAAAGCAGAGGATACGAAACGTTTGCGTTTACACTAGGTATACTAAGAATGTTGTTCTGAGTTTCTACTGGAGTTCTGATAGGGTGGCTTCAGCTCCCGCCCGTGCAGCCGTGTCTGCCTTTGCTCACAGAATATCGCCAAGGCTGAGAAGTCCAAAGGTTAGCGTTTGCTACTTTATTAATACATATTTTTGGTTTTATATTGGTAACTGTTTGAACCTAGCTTTCTTGTTTTGAAGTGAATTCCTGGAGTCTTACTTATCTATAACGCAGTATAAGACGAGGAGAAAATACTGAGTTTGTTCTGATATTTAATTAAGCAATTATTTGATCTTATATAGTTAATAACTTCAGTTGTGTATAGTATTGCTTCTCTACAAGTTAATGATCTTTAGACCGCTTTCAAACCACAAAAATCTTTGCATTTTTGGAATGCTTTAGGCCAGTCTTGTTTTTTTAAAAAATGCCTACTGTGCCTTTGCATATAATTAAAATTTTAAAGCTCTGGGGAGAGTTTTGCCACAAGTTGGCAACAGTGATATCACCTTG